AACCTTATGTTTCACTAATACATGTGTATCTTTCATTAAAAATGAAATATTAATTAATATCTAAAATTGTGTCCAATAACTACCATAAGTTCGAAGGAGTGATGAGCAGGAACTATTTTTAAAGATATATGCAACAACCATCACATTAATATATAATTTCTATTGGTAACATTGTCACAGGTACTGTTAAACTCATATGGTTTGTTACTATGGAAATGCTGCATTTGAATTAGAAGTTAGTGAAAATGTATAGAATATATATATTCAAGTTCACAGGTCCTCTGATTTCTGTTATGTTAAGAGACTTTGAGTTAGACCACAAAGTTTGAATAAGAGAATGACAACGATGAAGATTTAGAGTCAGGTTAATTTAGGTAAAATGACAGTTTATGGGAGGACTAGGTACACAATGCGAAGAATTTGACTTCTGACTCCAGAGAAATGAGTGTGACTTTCTTAGCTGAGGGATAGTGTATCTGAATAATATTCAAGAAAGAGAATTCTATTCTCTTTGCTGTGTAGTTTGTTGGCAGATAGTCCAGGGAAGAAGCTTGCTCATGTCACCTTAAGTGCTGATAGTTTAAACTATCAAACAGAAATTCTGAGTGTGAGCTATTTATTGCTCGGTAAGAATACCAAAATATTTTTGGTAAATGGAGGGAGAGGTTGACCATTTTAATTATTGTTCTGCTTTCTGTGGACTGCATGGGCAATATAATTAAAATGAAATCCTAGGGCTTTCCCACAAATATGATCACAGTAATGGTCATTTTCACTAACATTCCAATTATTTACCAGTTACTGACCACCTACTGTTTACAGCCAGACACTGCAGGAATTAAATGATTGCTCCTTCAGTTAGTTTAGTGAATAGTAATATATGTATAGAGCTGCCTCACCCACTAAACTCTTTCACATTCATTTCACATAGGAATCCTGTGAGTATTCATATATGAATCCATTATTTGCCTTATTGCAGAAACTGTGTGCCAACGGTCCTGATTTGTCAAAAGCAGTGAGAACCAAAATATCCGCTTACAACTGATTTCATATTTTTTTTCTTCTACCTCTTAAGAGCCAGTGTGAATCCAAACAAAGGTGTCAAATGGACTTGGACAAGGAAGCAACATCTCTTGTTCTAACCTTCTGATTGCAGCCAACATCTCTTGTTCCATCCTTTCTAGATTTAGCTAAAATTAGCTTAAGTTCCCACTTGATATCCTGTGAAAAGACTGATGTCCTCCCCCAAAACATCTGCCAATTCTTGAGTCCTTAGTTTCTTGTAATTACATAATTACTTCATTATCTCCTGCTTTTCTGCTCCCCATTATCACTAATTCTTCACTTCCTTGCCTCCCTGTTCTTTGATATATTCAAGCAATGAATCATGCTCATGCTTTCATCTTCCCCCAAACCTTTCACAGGAGAAATTAGTATAAAACATACTAATTTGGAGAGAAAGATAGGACATTAATTCTGACAACACATAACTGAATATTGTACATTAAACATCCCTTTTACTAAAAGTCCTGCAGCCTCTTCGATGTGAAGCTTTCTATTGGCCAATTCCTCTGTAATCCCCAGCTTCTTGCTCATCTCCTTTCTCCCTTCACTTCTTCTGCTCCTTTATTACTCTGCTCTTTCCCGCTCCTATATTTCCTGAATCAAGACATCGAAACCTCCCACGCCCATCCTAAAACTGTATAAAAGTTTTTATTCTAAAGGAATAAAAAAGGAAATTTCCTCAAGAATTTCTTTTAATCTACTTCTTATTTGTCTTGCCACATGCATGATCTAATTAAATTATCATAAGGCTATGAAATAAAATACTGGTATCTCTTCTGTTTAAGTCCTTTATCCATTTTGCATTTATTTTTGTGAATGGTGTAATTTGGTGGTCTAGTTTCATTTTTTTTGCATGTATCTGACCAATTTTCCCAACACCATTTATTAAAGAGACTGTTTTGACTCCGTTGTATGCTCTTGCCTCCTTTGTCAAATATTAATTGAGCATAATGGCTTGGGTCGATTTCTGGGTTCTCTGTTCTGTTACGGTGGTTTATGTGTCTGCTCCTGTGCCAGTCCCATGCAGTTCTGAGAACAGTGGCTTTGTAATATAGCCTGATATCTGGTATTGTGATCCCTACAACTTAGTTCTTCTTTCTCAGGATTGCTGTGGCTATTCAGTCTTTTTTTTTTATTCTATATGAATTTTTGGAGCATTTGTTCTAGGTCTGTGAAATATGCCGTTGGTATTTTAATGGGATTGCATTGAATCTATAAATTGCAATGATGTTGATCCTACCAATCCATGAACACAATATATTCTTCCATTTGTTTATGTCTTCCTCTATCTCTTTTTTCAACATCCTGTTGTTTTCTGAGTACAGATCTTTTACCTCCTTAGTTAAGTTTATTCCTAGGCATCTTAATTTTTTTGTTGCAATGGTAAATGGGATTGTTTTATCAGTTTCTCTTTCAAATCTTAGAAGCATCCATAGGTAGCAAAATATCAGACATATGTTGTAGCAATATCTTTATTGTTACAGCTCCTTGGGCAGTGGAAACTAATGAGAAAAATAAACAAATGGGACTACATCAAAATAAAAAGCTTCTGCACAGCAAAAGAAACCATCAACAAAACAACAAGAGAGCCCACTGCATGGGAGAACATATTTGCCAATGCTATCTCCGATAAGCGTTTAATCTCCAAAATTTACAGGGAATTTATACAACTTAACAAAAGGAAGATAAATAATTCAATCAAAAAATGGGCAAAGGACCTAAATAGACAGTTTTGGACCTGGAGAGCATTATGCTAAGTGAAATGTGCCAGTTGGAGAAAGATAAATTTCCCATGATCTCACTCATTTGTGGAATATAATGAGCAACATAAACTGATGAACAAAAAAGATCCAGAGACAGAGAAACACCTAAAGGGCTGTCAAACCTCAGAGGGAAGGCGGGGGAGGGCTGGCAGGGGCAAGGGAGAGGGTGGTAAGAGATCAACCAAAGGACTTGTATGCATGCATATTAGGATAACCAATGGACACTGAGGCAGTGGGGGCTTGTCCTGGGGGGTGGGAGTGGCCAGGAGTGGTTGATGGGTGGCGGGGGGGTGGTGGAGAAGGAGGCATATGTAATACTTTAAACAATAAAAAATACTATTATCTCAAATCTGTAGTGTGGTAATCGAGGCATAGAGAGCTAAATAACGTATGAAAGATTCTGTAGCCAGTCCGTGCTGAGAGCTGGGACTTGATATTCACAAGTATGTCTGAAAAAATAAGTTGCCATTCTAATATCAGTGAAATATTCTTGTAAGTCTTGCTTCAAAAGTTTCTGTAATCACTTCTATTTCAGGTGACATCTGCTGGGGAAAATTATTCAGTAAAGTAGCTTGTGGCTTTATTCAACTCAATGAGAACATGGTTTGCTTACATATGGCAACCTGGTGCTAACATTTTTTTTATTGCAATTTACATCTGGTGGAGGTTAAAATAACACAGAGGCAAAAGTTGCCCCTTTAAATGTATTTTGTATGTGCACAGATTTACTTGACATCAGGTTTCTCAACTTCGGAACTACTCACATTTTGTGGTGAATAATGCTTTGCTGTGGGGGCTGTTCTATGCATTGTAGGATGTTCAGCAGTACTCCTGGCCTCTGTCCTTGAGATTCCAGTAGACTCTTCCTAGTTATGACAACAAAAAGTGCCTCGAGACATGGCCACATATCCCATCTATATATATAAAAGCCAAGTGACCAGAATGACCAGAACTACTGGTCACTATGACGTGCACTGCAGCCGACCAACTGGCCTGAAGGGGACGGGGCCGGCCAGCCGGCCAATCCCCTGCGGCCCCTACCCTCAGCCAGCCCGCCCCCAATCACCCCTCCCACCCCATTGGGAGCAGGGCCAGCAGGCCAACCTCCCGCATCCCCTTCCCTTGGCCGGCAGACCCCCATCGGCCCTATTGGCCCGGTCAGGGAAGGCTGGCTGGACCCCACCCATGCACAAATTCGTGCACTGGCCCACTAGTGAGGTTAATATTGCCCCCAGTTGAGAACCGTTACATTACATCATAAACTCTCCCATGCTTAATATTAAAACATAGCAAAAACAAAACTCATATAATGAGCACCTACATGTCTGACAGTGACATAGGTACTCCTGTCATTTGCCTGTCTCTAAGGAAATACAGTTGTATATAAATAAAACTGGAAGACAAAAAATACAAAAGAAAGCAAATCCATAAGTGAACCTCCTCTCCTGTCGGAAATACAGTGGGGCCTTGACTTACGAGTGTCCCAACTACGAGCTGTCTCTCGGCCGATTTTTTGCTTTGAGTTGCAAGCTAAAATTCGGGTTATGAGCCAGCTTCAGATACCCCACCACTAGTTGGTGCAGCGAACGTCACAGTGAACGCCACAACATCAGCCCAGCATCACGTGTCTCACTCGTTCACAATTGATTTGACATACGAGTAATTGGAGTTACGAGCTCTGTCATGTAAGGAATTAAACTCGTAAGTCAAGGCCCCACTGTATAGCCATGCTGGTGACAATACAACTCAACCACATAGTGTTGAATTTGGTTGAATCTAGCAACTACAGAAACCTGTATGAGGGAATTCATAATGTAAAGGCTGTGGCTATACAAAAACGTGCAAGTATAGTCATACAGATTAGATGAGAAAAGAGATGGGAGGTCTTGTCTAGATGGGACCTTGGATATAACAACTGTCTCCTTTTAATGGCCAATCAAGTTGTTCTGAGTGTTCCAACCAAGGTTGTTGGAACTGAGCACAGTGTGTATAATTAGGTTATTGCCAGTCATCCTATTTCTGCCTGCCAGTAATGAATCTCCAAGCTGATTTGCCTTTGTATGAAAGTTCTTGTGGTACAAAACCACAGGTTGGTGAAAAACCCATAAAAATAAACAAAGCCAGGAGATTCTGGGTCTCCTGGCCTACTGATTCTCGTAAAAGATAGATAAAATGTGGTATGTGAATCCTGGTGCCAAAAAGCAGGAGGTAGGAGGTAGGTTTGTTGCTCAAAGTGGCAAGTTTTAGGACTTATGACTCAGCCCATTCCAGATCATAAATGGGCATATGGTAAGTGAAATAGAATAAAAAATGCATTCAAGTTACTATGGTAGAGCTTTCATTTAGTGATGCTAATGACAGGAGTGAGAAAAGAACTAAGTGAAACTATAAGTAAACCTAATTTTAGCCAACTGTTTCTATATCTCTATGCAAACAACTTGACAATTCAGAAAAATCTAAATAAAAATGATTTGAATGTTTCTTTACTTTTCTTTCCTGGCAGAGATAGTGCATAGTAAAAATAACGCCAATATAGTATCACACTTTTTAAAAAAAGAAAAAGTGAAAAAAAAGAGCAGAAGCAGAAAATATAGAGTAGCCTCATTCCAGAATATCATTAGTTCTCCAAAAAAAAAAAAAAAACCAAAAAAAAACAGTTCTAGTAACCTCTAGTCTTTGTTTGTTTTATTTTTTAAATATATTTTTATTGACTTCAGAGTGGAAAGGAGAGGACGAGAGAGATAGAAGCATCAATGATGAGAGAATCATTGATTGGCTGCCTCCTGCATGCCCCCTACTGGGGATGGAGCCAGCAACCTGAGTATGTGCCCTTGACCAGAACTGAAACCAGGACCCATAAGTCTGCAGAGTCAAACCAGCTCAGGCTCTAGTCACTGTTTAGTCAGGGAAAATAATGGGAAAAGTCCAAAGCTTACTAGACTGTATTGAAATTCTTTCAGCTACTCCTTTAAAAAAATGATTTGAAATCTAACAAACTTGAAAATAAAACTGAAAAATCAAAAGTCATGAATAAATGCTGATCAATGTCTTCTAGTTCTTTAAAGAAATAGAAATTAATCAGTGCTGACCAGAAGTAAATTCATCAAAATGGGCTCCTAAAGGTAATAGCAAATAATAATTATATAGAAACCTTCAAGCATGGTCTGCCTTTACAGAGGTTTAAGCCCCTGGGAAAAACATGGCACATATTCAGCCTATTCAACTTTTCCTGTTTGCTTTACCTGCCTTTCCCCCCTCACCACTAAAATAGCCACACACAGTCATACCTATTTTCTTTGCAATTGGATTACATTCAAAACAAATCTCAAAGGTAGCCACAGAGTGAAAAAAAAAAGGAGAGTCTAAGAGAGGGGTGTGGGCTTTAAGATGCCCCTAATACTTTAAATCAAGTTGATCAGGTGGGAAAGGGGCCACTGGGTGTATGAGTGAAGTTTTAACTGTCTTGTTCTTGGTTTTCTTAAGTGGATCACACAGGCCATATTTAGGAATCATTTGTGTATAATCACTTCTAATTTTGCTTTAAGGCTAGTATATGGTATAGTATCACACTTTTTAAAAAAAGAAAAAGTGAATAAAAAAGAGCAGAAGCAGAAAATATAGATTAGCCTCATTCCAGAATATCAAACAAACAAACAAACAAACAAAAAACAGTTCTAGTAACCTCTAGTCTTCGTTTGTTTTATTTTTTAATATATTTTTATTGACTTCAGAGTGGAAAGGAGAGGCCAAATTCACATTTCACATCAATAACTCACTTTACTGGATTCCTGGAAAATAGAATATTTCTAAATGTCTCTCGAGGAACTCTCATTAAGGCCTGTATGTACTTAACTTTCTTTTTAGCTCCCAATCATGCCTGCCTCCCTAAATAACTCCCTCCCCATCCCCATTATAGGTGCTACAGAAGGATAAGAAAGAGATCAAAGCACCACTCGGAGCATATTTAGAAACACTGTGTTACTGTTTAGCATTTAAATTTTTCTGCTCATTAAAAAAATATGCAGTGCTTTTTGGATCATTCTCATCTTTCATATGAGATCAGATCCCCTACTTGCTTGGCTATTGTGTATATATTGAATCTTCAGTGTTTAACCTAACTTGGAAAACATGTTTTATTTTTTGCTTTTCTAATTAATATCAAATATAACCTTCTTAAATATAGGAAAGCAAATTATATATAATAATAATTTATATCCATCTTTTGTTTAAAATGAGTTAGACATGAAAAAATAAGGCAAATATATGTCAGGAAAATGAGTTGGAACCAGCAGTGACCTCCTGGTTCATGGGCTGACACTCAACCACTGAGTCATGCCAGCCGGGCTATATAAACTTTTTTAAAGAGGTGTGTTTTTTTTAATATTTAAGATTTTATCTCAATAGATGTTTGAAAAATAAATTAGGATATCAACATTGTGATTTTATAGATATTACTAGAGGCCCGGTGCACGAATTCATGCACGGGTGGCGTCCCTCGGGGTGGCCTGCGGGTGGCCTGGCGCCACCCCCTCACCTGCTCCACCTGCAGGACGATCGATCAGTGCCTGGGAGCCAAGCGGAGGCTCTGACCCTGACCCCTGCCACCGTCTGTGAGGCCATTGGCGGGGCGATTGGGCCCCCGCTTGCACCCGCCTTGGCCTGGCGCTGCCCACTCACCTGCTGTACCATCCCACTGCAGTCCTGGCAGGCAGCGCCTCCCCTGTCACCTGCTGCCAGCACCACATTGCCAGCTCCTGCCATGTCCTCTGCTGCCCCCTGGTGGTCAGCACACATCATAGCGAGCAGTCGAATTCCCAGTTGAGCTCCCAGTCTAGGGGACAATTTGCATATTAGGCTTTTGCTATATAGGATTGCGTAGATAAAACTAGATTGATTTTTAAAAGGAGGGCATGAACTTAAAGCCAAAACTCAGAGAAGTTCAGTATTACAGGAGCACACAGCTAAGGGAACAATTGTGAAGTTGATGAATGAAGGCCTGAAGTTGGCAACAACTTGGTAGCATTAGTGGTTTCGGTCGCTAGCTCATGGCAAGGCTTGGGCTTTTCTTCTGTAGACGGTGGGTAGGTAGGTAACCTGGAGAAATAGTAGAAAGGGAAGATTAAACTTAGAATCGATTGCGTTACCTTTTTGTTTCTCCCCCTGTTTTGTTAGGTGATAGAATTACTGTGTGCAGAGCTCTGACATTTTTTTAAACGTATTTTTTATTTCCCCTCATGAATAGCATTTTCCTTACTTGCAGGCAACAATGTGTATCCAGTGAAGAATGTTCCTTTAGCTTTTTCCTTCTTTAACATTTCATTTTCCAGGTCCTTTGTGGAACCTAAACAAGTCCTAATGTCTCTTTCACTCAACCCTTGTGGTTGGTTCTTCCTTACAGTCAGTGTTACAGGCTGGGAAGCTGAAAACAGAGACTTGCTCAAGTCAGATAAGATGTTTAAAAAATAAAAGATACCATGAACTACAATTAAGTAATGCCCAAGGGTCAAAGTCATCTCCCTTTCCATAATAGCTGCCTTATTCAAATAAGAATTCTCAAGTATGAGGTGTGCTGTAGAAAATGTAGTCACTCAATTTTTCTTTCAAAGTCAAAATGACATTAAAATTGGAATTAGCATAGTTTTCTAATATCACATTAGGAATAATTTCACATGTTTACATTTTTGTCTCCATCTCTTTCTGGGGGTTTCTTTCAGTCTCGTGTTAAATCTTATCTGTAATTAATTTAATTTAAGAGAGGATACAGATTTTTTAATTTGTATATTTTTAGTATTTTGCATTACATCTTGATGATGACTTTGCTTTAATTGGTAACTGCTTTGCATTTTTTTTTTGTTTAAAGTATTACCTAAGTCCCCTTTTCCCCCATTAACCTCTTCCAGCCTACTCCCGTCCTCCCCTCCCCCCCAGACCCTCCCTGCCCCATTGCCTGTGTCCATGGGTTATGCATATATGCATACAAGTTCATTGGTTGATCTCTTCCCACCCAACCTCCCCTGCCTTCCCTCTGAGGTTCAACAGTGTTCCATGCTTCTATGTCTCTCGGTCTGTTTTTGTTCATCAGTTTATTTTGTTAATTCAATTCCACATATGTGTGAGATCATGTGATACTACCTTTTCTGACTGGCTTATTTTGCTTAGCATACTACTCATCCATCCATGCTGTTGCAAATGGTAAGCATTTTTAAAAACAAGCCTAACACTCCTCATTGCATAATGGAAATGCGACAAATAAACTGAAGCATGAAGGAGAATTAAAATGATGTGTTCTGCTTTCTCCTTTTTAGATGGGAAGGTGGAAGTGACAAAAGAAGGCGTGAAGCTGTGCACCATGGGTCCAGGAAAGGTGTTCGGGGAGTTGGCTATTCTTTACAATTGCACCCGGACAGCGACCGTCAAGAGTAAGGCTTTCATTTTTTTTTTCAGATACTTTCAATGTCTTTTTTCCCTAGACCAGTGAGATATCCATTAGTACACTTCTTGATCTAATCTTTGCCATTTTATTAATCTATATTTCAAGTTTTGCTTTGAAATATAGCCCATCTATTCGTTTTTCTACTAAAGGATGATTGTTGCTCAGTTTTGTATAACTCAAATTTTATTGCTGCCTTATGAAAAGTATCCTTTTAACCTAGAATTTGTATGATTATCAGTTTTTAAATTAAAATTAAACAGGAGCAAGACCTTTTCTTTTCCTGCCTTGAAAAACCTCAGAATCATATTTAAATTATTTTTACATATCTGCTATTTTGGGTTACATTCCCCACATAAATGCTCACTCCATGGCTTAGAAAAATTGAGAGGAGAAATGTTGATCTCATTCAAACGTCAAGTGAGATGTATCCTGAATTCTAAAACTGCTTCTGCGTATATTCTTGTCTTCAGCTGCTCATCAAGCTGAATATTATAGCATTTTTCTTTTCTACTGACTGAGCTTATTTTAAATCAGGGCAATAAAAGCAGCTTGTTTCCCTAATTTTACATATATGTGTATACATGATTTCTCTAGCAACTTTTATTGCTTGGCAGAAGCAGCTGCAATAGTTAGAGGGGGGAAATGTTTTAAACACTCCTCCCTCCTGACTGCAGGATGCAACGAGTGTGTAACAAACAGCTGAATGCAAATGCCAACCATGGAAGGTCCATTTTATCTTTAGGTGAACATGTGTCATGCGTGTTCCAAAAGGTTTTCTGATACATTATGCTGTGGATGATAGCAATCACAGATTACTGTGATTAGGTTGTGTCATTTTAAAAAATTTTGTTGAAAAAATGACATTGCTACTATCAATCAGTTTTATCTGGATGCCACTGATTATTTTGTTTGTGTGTTTGTTTTTCTCTCAGAAATATGGCAGTGATTGACAATATGACATTGAAACTTGGGTTGTAAAGAACTTAAGAATACATGGTCAGCTAGCGTTCTAAAAATTGTCTTATTTGTCTTATTAGTGGATCATCTTTTTATTCATTCAAAGTATCAATTACAGTTGGGGCCCTTATAAAGTGAGCCCTGTTGGCACTTGATTCTTGATCTCTAAAAGCATAGAACTCTTTTGATTGATAGGCACCGACATGTTTTTATTTCATGTGATGATTGAATTACATGACTCAAAGAATAATGAAGCCCAATGAACATAACAGATTCTGGTAGTACTTGAACTCACTTACGAAGTACCTTACCTAGGAAAAGGCATAGTCATGACTCCATTACATGAACAAACTTAACTACCATGCTTTCTTTTTATGAGAAATAGGTAAAAAAGAGCCAGAAAAGAATATTTTGATTGAACAGGCTTTCTCAGAATTAATGAATAATATTTTTTAAAGTTTAAAAATATTTAAAATTTTAAAATTTTCAGTTCTGTATACTGCTCATTTAATCCAGTTAAACTGCAAAATTCCCAAAGGTCACCTAGTGCTTAACCTTTGAAATACTGAATTTTTATTAAATAACTTTTTTAAAAGTCTAAATAATGTATTTAAATAATTTTTGCAGCAAAATGTTTTTAATAAGGTGAATACTTTGCTTCATAAAAATCAACTGCCTTATTTGCATCTTATAAAATGGTATTAATCTGTACTAGCCTCTATTGCACTTCTGTTTGGTAAATTTAAATGCATCTGATTTGACAAGAAGAAACTAGGTGCTGAATGCAAATTATAATACTAATTTTTGGGGGTCAAAATGTCCATTATTAATGGAAATTAGTGATGGAGTATGTTCTTTAACACAAACTCAAGAGGTTTTTTTTTTTTTTTTTTGTGTGTGTGTGTGTGTGTGTGTGTGTGTGTGTTTTTGGTTGTATTTGAGAAACAGCCCGGAGGTGAAAAGGCTTTGTGCATGAGCAAGGAATAATATCTATGAACAGTGGTTCCTTCTAAATGTTGTATAAGAACTATAATGTGTGAATAATGATTGTTTGTTGTTCAGGACCTTTTTATCCTATCTCCTATACTATCCAGGGGCTCTGTACTTGTGACTGTGATCCTTAAAACCATTTATAATTTAAATTATAAATTATACCTAGGGCTGATCACTTTATAAATCTGATTAGATTCCATTGTGAGTACTGCTTGTACCAAATTACTAGTCAATGCTATCATACTCTTTACATGTGATATTTTAAAATGTCCTTAAATGGCTTTTTAGATCCAGTCATTTCTCAGGATTCAAAATTTTGTCCATTTCTTCTTAACTATCATTTTGCAGGTGATGACCATTTTCAGTAAATTTTGAAATGAAGTCATCCACTTGAGTTCAATAGTCTAAGGGGACGGCCATTCAATAGCTTATCACTCATGTGCCTCTTTTTTTCTCACTTACCTGGGCTTGTGATTTCCTTTCCCCAACATCATCCACTTTCTTTTGTGATTGAAAATGTTGAATCCTTTCTGTTTTCATTCTCCCTAGGTTAGCCTGAAATGTTAATGCATTTTTAATCTCACAGTCGTAACTAAATCCTAGGTGGCATCAAAGAGCTCTTCAATATAAATGAGTCATTTCTTGTTCAAGATGGCACTTTTTAAAAACTTTTTCAGACCATGAATAAATTCCAGTGACTTCTACTAACGAATGTGATCCTAATACCTGTGGGTTTTCTTTAACTTAGGATATAAAAAATAGCTTTATTTTTTTTATCGAGGTATAATTAACATTTAACATTATATTAGTCTCATTGTACAGCATAATGATTTGTTATATGCAGAATGGTCACCACAGTGTCTAGTTAACATCTGTCACCATCCTTTATTATAATTTTTTCTTGTGATAAGAACTTTTAAAATCTACTCTCTTAGCAACTTCCAAATAATGCAATGCAGCATTATTAACTATACTTGTCATGCTGCACATTATTATATTCCCAGGACTTATTTATTTTATAACAGGAAATTTATACCTTTTTCCCCCCTTCACCAATTTCACTCCTCCTCACCTCTGGTAAACACCAACCTGTTCTACCTATGACCTTGAGCATATTTCTTTCTTTCTTTTTTTTATCTATTTCACATATAAGTGAGATCGTATAGTGTCTGTCTTTTAAATTCTGACCAGGGTACTCAAGGTCCATCCGTGTTGTAAAAATATGGCAGGATTTCTTTCCTTTTTTATGGCTGAATAGTATTTATAGAAATATGAAAAGAAAGCATATATGGTATGGTGCAGATCTGTATTAACAATCTACTGTCCTATAAAACAACATTATCAACTTCCCCCCGAGGAATTTGGATGCAAAAGTATATAAAATCAACATGATACTGGAAACAAAATTCTAACAAATATCCTTAGGCTATTCACAGCTTAAATAGGCTAAAGTTTTCTTTATTAACTGTGATATGAAAATGGCCACTTGCGTCTATCCAATCACAAGCATGCCAGGTGCCAGGGGGAGGAAAAGAGTCATTTGTTTTATTAGATTTCCACAACACCAAACAATTACTGTCTCCAATGCTGTTGGAATTTCACATTCTGTCTACATATTTTGGGATTCTACAAACAAAGCAGAGTTCTACCATCTATTTTCAAGCCCCACAAGGATAGGAATTTCTAATGTGCCCCTTGAAAACCCCTTTCCACACAATTCCCATGCCCAGAAGCATGTCATTACCACCTTTCCCTGCTGTTTCACTCCTGGTTGTAATTTCACTTCCACTACCCTCACAGCTAAAGTCAGATCAATTTACACTCTGGACTTACTGTCTTGCTTCTAGGCCCCAGGTTCTTTAAAATCACAATAGTAGGAAAGTTGAAGTTACTGGAAACCTAAAAATAAAAAGGAAAAGGCTTTTCGTTTACAATGAAAGAGGGATTCAGAGATACAAACCTTATGTGTGAGTTTGCAAGGATATCTATGTTCTCTTGCTTTACTTGGATTTCCCTCAACCAGTTCTCACAACTACTCAGGGATTTTTAAAAATATATATTTTTATTGATTTCAGAGAGGAAGGGACAGGGAGAGATAGGGACATCAATGATGAGAGAGAATAATTGATTGGCTGCCTCCTGCACGCCCCACACTGGGGATCGAACCCACCACACGGGCATGTGCCCTGACTGGGAATTGAACCATGACCTCTGGTTCATGGGTCCATACTCAACCACTGAGCCATGTCAGCCAGGCCCTCAGGGATTTTTTTTTGAGGTTTGAATCTTGTGGCTCTTTGCTCCAACTTCAGTTGTACATAAATTGGTTTTTTTTGCCTGAAGATACTAAATTGAAGCCTGTTCCTCTTCCTTTGAGTTTCCAGCTCACAATGCCCCAAACCTTAGGCAGCATATTATTCTAACAGGCTCATTCCAATAGACTTCAATAAAAACCCAAGAAAAAAAGGTCTCTCTTTTTGGATAACATTAGATACCAGTTTAAGGTGATCACCATAGAGAGTTATCTGCAAAGCATGGCTACAGTGGGTGGGTGTGAATCAACTTGAGCAGTTATTTCTCCTTAGATTATTTATAGCACATATTTAAAAACTCCTCAGCATTAAAATACTTTAGTAGTGACATGAAAGATCCTAAACATTCTGCAAGAATCTAATTGATGACTTTAATAACACTTGGTAAAAATATTTTTCTGCCTTAGTTTGAATACTCTAAGTTTCCGTATTTAGACTTTCCTAAAATATTTGTATAGGGGGACATTGACTAATTAAACTATTTTCACTGTGTCATGGACGTTTTGAGAACAAAGTTAAAAGGTTTGGATTTTCCTGCTTATTTTTGTTTTTAAAATAAATTTGAGTCTGTGCAGTGGAGATGGCTTGTGCATTCCCCTGTAGCTCTGTTTCAAACATCACATTATTCAACCTGACTCAGAAAAGTCTGCCAACCTTCCAAAACCTAAAAAGATAAATGGGGGTTGGGGGCGGGGGGAGGGAGGAAGATTTGACTAAAATTTCT